TAAGTTTTACATTTATTTCACTTTTAATAATTTTTATTTCGCTTGAAAAAATATAGAGTGAAATAAAATAAACAAACAAAGTTTTATCAACGTTTCCAAAATTCGTTTATTTATTTTATTTCACTCTATAATTTTTCACTCTATAATTGTTTTGCACGTGCTGTTTGGCGCTACATTGTGACGTCACGTAAACAATACTTTAAACGTCTGTACAGCGTTAACGACTGAATTAAAGATATTGGTGTTCGAATTCATTTTCTTAGTTAGACCATTTTCTTTCATTCTAGATAGTTTTCACAACAAAATTCGACAAAAAATTTGTTTTTATTTATCACATTTTTCAAACAAAATGGCGCCCTCAATGTGAAAATTACACGGATTTAGCTCAATACAGGATTGGAGCAGTACCTCTAGACGCTTTCAGAAATCATGATCACAAAATAGACAAATATCGTTTTTTTCGCCGAATTTTACATTTTTCCTTGATTATCGTACTTGATTCGGTGTGAAAAGATGAATTAGACCTGTTAAAGTTCATTCCGTTGGGTAAAAAGACAAGATTTTAGCATTTTATCATTCAAGCGCCTTGTCCGGTATATACCGGAATACGGTATTTAGTGTGGTGCTCCAATCCTTTTTTTTAGTCACAGCCAAAATACACAGGGAGATATTAAGAACGGCGAGTGCATTGTTGTAGAATAATGCACGCTTCGGGCCTTCTTTAAATTGTTTATATAGAAACATTTCCGATAGTGTGATTAAAGGTAGTTTGCCTAATAAAATTCTTTAAAAAACGGTGACAGGATAAATAGAATAATAGGTTGGTGCCGTGGATGGAGAAAGTTTATCTGGCGAGGCGGAGGAATTTATTGGGTGATTTTGTCGAATTTTGTTGTTAAAACTATCTAGAATGAAAGAAAATGGTCTAACTAAGAAAATGAATTCGAACACCAATATCTTTTATTCAGTCGTTAACGCTGTACAGACGTTTAAAGTATTGTTTACGTGACGTCACAATGTAGCGCCAAACAGCACGTGCAAAACAATCAAATCAAGTACGCTATTTTAATGTCGCAAACGAGTTAAGTTTTACATTTATTTCACTTTTAATAATTTTTATTTCGCTTGAAAAATTATAGAGTGAAATAAAATAAACAAACAAAGTTTTATCAACGTTTCCAAAATTCGTTATTCTACACACAGAAGATTTAACGACAGATTTTATATTTTTTATTGAAAAGAAGTCCGGCAAACATGCATACCACGTGATCAAGTGCCGTAGATCAGTAAAAATATACGGCACCTTGTTATCGAGCCGAAATTGATACAAGTGACAGGATAATAGCCGATATACACCTCTCAGGCCGATGTTATTTCCTAAATAGACATGTGTAAGTCATTAAATATTTGTAATATGAATGGAAGATCCCAGTAAGATTAAGTCTGATTTGCTTGTATTGTCTTGCTGGTATTTAAGAATCTTTAGGTAAATTACAGGGGAGGGTGAGTCAAGCGTCTGTTGATAAATTCCATGATCAGTCAGAATTTAGAAAATTTCTTGTAAAACTAGTCTTTTTATGTATATCCAGCTCTATAGATTATTTTGAAACGTATGTAAGGTAAATACATATCACACGTATCCCTAATTTGATTATTTATCTTTATGATTGACACCCTCTATTAATAGATTAAAAATATGGCTGTTGCTACCCAGTTTTTGTTTTTCTGAACTCTGCACATGGTGTTTTAGATACTCTTAACCAACCACCACTTTAAACATATATTTATTAGATTATTTGCTTGTTGTTTTTTTTAAATTGTTTTCTTTTTTACGATTTTAACCTTTATCCTTAGAAATGTTGGAGAAATTGGCAAAAAAATAATGAACAAGGAAGTGCTTTGCAGTGCTTCTGGGCGGATTTTGATCTAATAAATCGATTGGTAACACTTTCAAACCGATAAAATAAAGTTTTCATATGTTTTTATGAGAAATTTGAGTGCTTTTTGGTGCTATCGGGTGCTTTCTGGTTTTTCTATGCACCGCTGCTGGGCCCTCTAAAACTTGGGGGTCAGAACCACCCCCAGCTTCACAAGTCCCCTACAACTTTAAATAAAAAACTTTCAACACAGATGGGGTATCCATCTGTATCATAAAATATATTTTCAATTCAAACCATTTCCAGACAAAGTAAAAAGGAATGGCAAGCGCTACGGCCCTGTACTTCTAGCCAAAAGTCCTATCTGTAAGTGAGTCATGTATGGCTAGTCTATACTGTAGAGGTTAATCGTATGGTAATTTAAAAGTAAAGAGCTTAATAATAATAAAAAAACATTAATGTGTAAGAAATCTTGTGTGTCTAGAAGAAGACTTAAAGAAAAAATGGAATTTTTCCTGTTTAGAGGTTGATGTAATCCGGTATGCCTAAAATACGAAAGTGAGATTTTTGACGAAAGTGAGCGAAAGTGACTTTTAAAATTTGAATTGTACCGTTTTAATAGAATTTTACAGTGAATTTTCTGTTTTTAGACGTATATTATTAGCAACTTATAACATTTCTTTTCAAAAATAATCACTATGATGATTTAATCGCCATTTATTTGCATAATTTCTATACACAAGTTCTGAGATCTTCCTTTCGCTCACTTTGAAAAATACATTGAAAATATGAAAGTGACTTGTAAAATATCAAATATAGAGTTTGAATTGAAATTGTACTTAAATTGCAGTTTGTAAACCTATATTATCAGAATTAATAATTTGATATTCAACACTAAATTTCAATTAAACACTATATTTGATATTTCAGAAGTCACTTTCGTATTTTCTATGTGAGCGAAAGGAATTTGCTGAACTTGTACATGTATGTAGACATTATGTAAAAAATGAGGTAAAAATCATCATAATGATTATTTTCGAAAATAAATATTATATATTTCTGATAATATACGTCTACAAACTGCAATTTTAGTATAAATTTCAATTAAAACTCTATATTTAATATTTTACAAGTCACTTTCATATTTTCAATGTAAGCGAAAGGAAGATCACTGATATTGCATATAGAAATTATGCAAAAAAAGGGGGGGGGGGGTATAAAACTATAAATCATCATAATGATTAATTTAGAAAATAAATAATATTAATTTCTTATAATACACGTCCACAACCTGCAAATTTAGTACATTTTCAATTTAAACTCTATATTTAATACTTTACAAGTCACTTTCGTATTTTTCTATGTGAGCGCAAGGAAGATCGCTGAACTTATATATAGAAATTAGGCCAATAAATGGCAATTTTATTATGATTATGGTTATTTATTATAATATATATAATAAGTTGCTAGTAATATACGTCTACAAACAGCAATTTTACTGTAAAATTCTATCAAAACGGTACAATTCAAATTTTAAAAGTCACTTTCGCTCACTTTCGTCAAAAATCTCACTTTCGTATTTTAGGCAAACCCGATGTAATCTGGGATACAGATTTAAACCTTGGATAATTGGTAGATTTTTTTTTTCTTTTAAATATTAATGATTATTAATTTACAATTTTAAATGACATTAAAGTCTTAATCATGGTTATAAAAAAGATATTTCTATGAACAGAACATAACAATACAGGAAATACAAGAAAGGAAATTTCAACTAAAAAAACACAAACACTAATGAAGCCAGTATCTAAACTGTTTGCGTTAACTATTTAAAGTTGCTAGCTGTTTGTTCATCATTTAAAGTTTACATAAACAGCTATTTTAAACAATTTCATGTGATCACCAGTCAATTTGCTGTGGTACCTCCAGTTAAGTTATAAAAAACTTATTTTGATAATTTCAACCACTTAATAACCAAATTCAAACTTTAATCGTGATTTACTTGATATCATATAATAATAAAAAAGATTATTTTAATTTTTATACAAGGAAATATAATTCATTATAAATGGCTGAACATCATCCGTAAATATATATACATACATGTGTATATATAATTTGTTTATATTTTGTAAAAATATGTTTATATTTTGTAAAAATATAATTGAACTAAGTTAAAAGTCATTATTTGCACCCTTCTTAGCCCAATCTTAGTGAAAAGCATACCGTAATGCAACTCTTTTAAATTTTTTTGTCATTTTGCACAATTAGAATAATTATTCTGGAATAACAGAGTAAATGATTTGAAAATTTGCACTGAAGTTACATCAAATGGAACATTTATCTTGAAAAATTATTTCCAGTCCTGTGACTCCCATCATGTCAAAATACCTCAGTGAAGTCCCTTTAATATTTTTGTCTTTATTAGGCATGAACAGGTTCCTAAATTTCATCTAAAAATAAATAAATCAAAGCAGTGTTCGAAATTAGCAGTAGTCCTATAGCCCCTGACTACTAATTTTCTCCTCGGGCTACCAACTTTTCAAAGTAACAAGTCCAGCCTGTCTACTGTATTTTCAGAGGCAATATAAACAATTGTTTTGAACAAATGAATCGTGCTAGTGAAATGTCTTTTGGGCTAGTGAATATTCCAATCTGGTAGTCCAACCAGCCTAGTGGTTTCAAATCCGAATTTCTTACACTGTCAAAGGCTAAAAGATTAGCCTCTATTTGATGTACAGCTTCATTATTCAATTATTATTTCTATAAATTATGTAAATTAATTCATTCAGTCGCACTTTCTTACTGTTATAACTCCTTTTCCTCTAGATTTCTCTTAACTCTGTTTCTTCTATGAGTGAAAATCAACTCATTTGTGATATACTAACAGTTACTGATTATGTGATTTTTTTCTAATTACATAGATTGATGTCAATTCAAAATGCCAGAAACTAAACCACTAGTGAAGGAATGTTTACCTAAACAAGGACTCACTTACCATGAAGACATGCCCACTGTAGTGTTATGTAAACCAAAACTTTTGCCTCTAAAATCAGTCTCCTTGGAAAAGATGGAAAAAATGCAGCGTGAAGCTCAAGAAATGGTGAAACAACAGGAATTAGAGGCTACAGAGGAGGAAAACTTTGGCATTTACTAAAGTCTGATCAGTTTTTTGTTTTGTGTGTGAAATTTACTTTGATATTTTTGTTTCTTAATATTTTATATTATTAATCTATCAGTTTGTGACTTTGTAAAATTCAGTATAACAATGGGTTCTGTTGAGCAGCCCTGGCAGTATAATTTCCCCCCTTTCTTTACCATCCAACCAAATATTGACACTCGTAAGAAACAGTTGGAGGCTTGGTGCCGACTTGTTCTTGATATACAAAAACAACGGAAAAGTTACTCTCTAGATGTCAATGAAGCTCAGAATTCCATTTTTAGCAATAAAGATATTAATAGGAAGCTACCACTGGACGGAATTTACATGGTTCTTGATGAGCTTTGTAAGAAGGGGCATATTGAATGGAAAGATCCAAAAACAAAGAAAGAGTGTTTGGTGATGTGGCGCACTCCGGAAGAATGGGGTAAATTGATATACAAGTACATATCTGACCGGAGCATGATAAATACAGTTTGTACGTTGTTTGAAATATCAAATGGGGATGAAACAGAAGGTGAAGAATTTCATCAATTAGATGACTGGCTTTTAGTCAGAGCTCTTAAATCTTTGGAAATAGATGGAAAGGCAGAAATGATGGGCACTGAAGGGGTGAAATTCTTTTAGTTCAGCCCAGGGAAGCTTTGAATAATCAGCATAAAAATGAACGGTTGAAAAATGTAACTAGTGGTTATAAACATGATTAAAATCTGGTATTAATGAAATTGAATGTATTATAAAGTGTTTGTATTTTGTTTGCAAAGATTTTGATTTTTCTTTTAAGTACGAAAAACTTCTGGAAGGTGTTATAATAATTCCATATGCTTGTTTGATTTTTTTTATAACAAAAACATTTTTGCTGTGCAATGGCAGTGAATATGGATGATTTTATAATTTTCAACAGTTCTCTTAAATGATAAATATACCAACAAACAGACATTACTGGAAGATGTAACCAGTCCTGAGATAAAAGAATGATTTTGATATATAATTTCATTATTTAAAAATAAATGAGCCGTGTCATGACAAAACCAACATAATGGGTTTGCGACCAGCATCCGCGCAGTCTGATCAGGATCCATGCTGTTCACTTACAGACCCTATAACAAGGAAAGAAACTGATAGCGAACAGCATGGATCCTGATCAGACTGCGCGGATGCGCAGGCTAGTCTGGATCCATGCTGGTCGCAAACGCATTATGTTGGTTTTGCCATGACACGGCTCAAATGTTGAATTGTTTCATGTGTTATACTTATAGGTTTCATGAGTAATAACAGGAAGAATGAAAGAAAAGTTACATTACAAAATGTATGATGTGATCAGTATATGAATTAAATAAAAGTGTTAGTGTATATCTTCACTTGATTTTCTAAGCTTTTAAATGTACAAATTAAAATTGAGCTTGCATGAATGTATGTATGTGACAGGCTGAGGTTTGCTAAAATGTTGCTCATAACTTCCTTCAAAAACAGATGGATAGGCTTCGTTATTTGTTATAGCATTCAGACATGGATGATCTTCAGTCCTGTACAAAAGCTTCATAGATTGTCATTGCCTGAAGAATAAGTGTGTGCAAAGAGCTTGGAGTAAAATAAATTCTTTATATGTAGACTTTGATTTCAAGAACTGCATTTGTGTAAAAGGTGTAGAGCTTAGATATTTAAGATATATAGCTTTGTAAAACTAAACACAGTGATTAATACCAGTGATAGGAAATGAAGCGTCAAAGAACCATAATTCTACTTTGCTTAATTTTGAGTTATCTCCTTTTTATGATAATAAAAAATGTCAAATACTGCTTGTCTGGAGTATCACTTCTTATCTATCAATTATATCTCATTTAAAATTAGTAAAGAATCTTCATGTGATAGCTGAAACTACCTATGAAGGATAACCTGGAGATCATCTACAAAGGGCCTCAAGGAGAAAATGTCATTTAGGTACATGCAGGACATATATGACAACAAAGACCTGATGTTCATAATTTTTATGCTCCCACAGAGTGGGAGCATATAGTGTTGCACTTGTCCTTCCGTCTGTCGTTCGTCCCGAAATCTTGTGAACGCACTCCTCTTAAACCGGATGGCAGATTTTGCTTAAACTTCCAGGGATGAACAACCTTAATGTGTAGATGGTAGTAAAGGAAGGAATTTTTGCTGCGACCAAATTTTACAGGATTATGGCCCTTTGTTGATTTTTAGCTTGATATACGAAGTATATGGAGAGCTGTCCTACTCGCTCCCGGGCGTTCGGCGTCGCGTCCAGATGTGAGATAAAGTTTTGGTGCAGTAAAAATATTTTTCACTATTAACTTTGTCATTTCTTAAAGTATCAACTTTCAAACTTCAAATATATTTTCCTATCATCAAACCACATCTTATGTGACAGGTTCATAACTCTAGCACCAAATATTTTCAGATTTTATGTCCCCTTGAACTTTAGATTTTCCTTAAAAATATACTATGTTTTTACTGTTACTTCTTTATGTCTTAAGGATCAACCTCATATTCAAATATATGTACCTTATCATCATCCCCATCTTATGTTTTATACAAGGTTCATAACTCTAGCACCAATAATTTTTCCGGATTTATTCCCCTTGAACTTTTAGGGAATTTCCTTAAAAAATACTATTTTTTACTGTTATTATTTTTTTTCTAAAGGGTCAAATTTTCATATTCAAAATATTAACACATCATCCACATCTTATGTGGCAAGGTTTTAAAAACCAGCACAAAGCAAGAAATTTTTCCCCCCAAAAATTAGAAAAGAAAAAGTTATTTTTCAAAATTTTTTGTTTTAAAAAGGGATCTACCTCAAAAATTCAAATACTTATTTCCCTTTTCATTTAATTACCTTTTTTTGTTTACAAGTTCGTAAAATTTTTGAAAACCCAAATTTACACATTTAAACTTTTTTTGAACTTAGGGTTTTCTTTAAGAAAAATTTAAAAACTTTTACTTTTTTGGGATCTACTTTAAACTTTAAATATATATTTCTTATCATTTTCACCCCATTTTTTGTGAAAGGTTTTTATTTAAATCTAGCATGAAATTTGTTTTTAGAAAATTTTTCCCCTTGATCTTGAATTTATTGGGTTAACAAATGTATTTTTTACTAAACTTTAATTACAAATTATACATAATTGGTTTTTTTTCATAGTTTTTGTCCTCCTTACTGCGTCCAGTTATTTATTATTGAGCTTGGCCTGTCTCCTGTGACCAGCTCTTGTTTCCACTATATACATGTAGAAATTTTGAACGCAACTCCTCTTAAACCGAAGCAATTTTGCTTTTTAACTTCCAGGATGAAAAACCTTAATGTGTAGATGGTAGTAAAGGAAGGAATTTTTGCTGGCCCAACCCAAATTTTAACAAGAATTATGGCCTATTGTTGATTTTAGCTTGGACTATACGAAGTAATGGGAGAGCTGGTCCTTACTCGCCGCGTCCGCCACTCCAGATTTAGATTAAAGTTTTGTGTGCAGTAAAATATTTTTCACTATAACTTTGTCATTTTCTTAAGGTATCAAACTTAAAAAAACTTCAAATATATGTTCCTTATCACAACCACATCTTATGTGGACAAGGTTCATAACTCTTAGCACCAATATTTTCAGAATTTTATCTCCCCTTGAACTTAGAATTTTTTCCTTAAAAAATACTATTTTTTACTTTCACACTTCTTTATTTCTTAAGGGATCAACCTCATACTTCAAATACGTTATCATCATCCCTATCTTATGTGCTAAGGTTCATAACTCTAGCACCAATATTTTCAGATTTATCTCCCTTTGAACTTAGAATTTTCCATAAAAAATATTATTTTTTACTGTTACAATGTACTTATTTATTTCTAAAGGGATCAACTACATACTTCAAATATATTTACGTTATCATCATCCACATCTTATGTGACAAGGTTCATAACTCTAGCACCCAATATTGCAAGAATTATCTCCCCATAAACTTTTGATTTTTTTTACTAGAAAAAATGTTATTTTTTATTATAATTTTTTTTATTTTTAAAGGTATCTACCTCAAACTTCAAATACGTAATTCCTTATCATCCAATTACATTTTATGTGACAATGTTCATAACTCTTGAAGCAATATTTACACATTTATCTCTCTTTGAACTTAGATTTTCTTAAAAGAAATATAATAAACTTCTTTACTTTTTAAGGTATCTACTTCAAACTTCAAATATAGTATTTCTTATCATTACACAAATTGTTGTGTGACAGCGTCTATAACTTCTAGCATGACTATTTCTAGAATTATTTCCCCTTTGATCTTGGAATTTATTTTAACAAATATTATTTTTTACGTATAACGTTAAAACATAATTTATACCATAATTGATATTACTTTCATAGTTTGTCCTCCTTACTGCGTCCAGTATTTATTAGTCGGAGACTTCGCTGTCTCTGTGACAGCTCTTGTTTAGTTTTCAACTTGTGCACATGTGGACTGTAGTCAATAATATTTCCTTAGAGTCATAAGATTGAAGAACAGTGGTGTGTGGGGGGCATCCGTGCCTATGGACACATTTCAGTTAGTCTACATTTTCTAAGAAAAATATTGAGCTATTGCTGCAGTCAAGCTGTCCTTCCTTTGCTGTTTTCGTCCAAGAAAATTAACAGTCGTCGTAATTTTTTTATTCTTATTGGATATTTGGACCAATTTATTGTTTAGAAGCAGCATACATAATATTACACTACCTAATTTACTTTTGAAAGATGCAAAACAAAACATAAATAAATATCAGCCTTGCGTCATTTAAAACATTCAAGTAAATATCCAAAATACAATTAGAGCCGGGATGGGGTAAAAAACATTTTCGTTTGCGACCCGATAGATCCGACCCGTGTCATCTGCGGAGTCTTATCAGGATCCATGCTGTTCGCTTACCAACTATTACAAGTAGAGAAACTGATAACGAACAGCATGGATCCTGATCAGACTGCGCAGATGCGCAGGCTGGTCTGGATCCATGCTGGTCGCAAACGCACTATGTTGGTTTTTCTAGCATTTCTATTTTAACTTATAAGTTCATTGCTTATTAAGAAATTGAAGAGAAAAAAAAGCAATGCAGCTTGTAAGGAGGTTTAGCCGTATGGTTTAGAATGTATTACTTAAATATCTTACAGGTTTTTTTTTTAAAGATCACAATTTTTATGAACAATGAATGTGTAGTTGCAGTAATAATCATTTGATTACCAGTACATTATTTGAGCCAAGTTTGGAATTATTGGATAAGAGAAATTTTAGTTTCAAATTAATTTCCAGTTTTTTTCAAATACTATTTTCCAGTTATTAAATACTTGTGTAAAATATTCATGTATTAAAACTGTGCTTTTAAGTAAATACCTGCCATGAGTCAGTCAGTGTATTGATCATGTGATGGGAGGGTTTTTGTTCTTGGTGCTTTTGAAGTTACCTTTGTCATAATATTTTAAATTCATTTTATAGGAAAGGTATTTCCTTAATTTTTTCCTGCTTTAGTACAAAAACTTTCTAATGGCTAAAATTTGTATACATCTATGTGCACTGAATAAAGAGCATTTGGATGACCAATTTTTGAACTTTTGTAGGTGTAAAAGATTACCGTGTGGGTGTTAAATAGTATGTATCATATTAGGTCAGGTTTTATTGTGCAATAATAGACAGATAAACTCTAGAGAATTGAATGTAACTTTGTATGGAAATATATCATTTTTATTTAGAAAACCCAACACTTTGATGGTTATACATGTACTTTTTAGCTGAACTACTCGCATAATAATTAAGCTAATGCAGTCACCCATTTGTCGGTGTCCATGTGGTTAAGTTTTTGC